GGTTCCGTACGGACAAAAAGGCGTCCGGTCGGGGGCCGGACGGACCGAACCGGACCGAATTATAATAATAAAAATAATTATAATAAAAATTATAAATAATTATAATTAAAATTACTATAATAATAATAATAAATATAAATTAGAAATAATTATAATAATTATAATAACAATTATAAATTATAATAATAATTAAATATTATAATAATAATAAGTTGAATAAATTGTAATTAATTATAAATTGTAAAAATAATAAAAATAATATTAATAATTATAAATTATAAATGCTTATAATAATAATTATAACAAATAATAATAATTTGTAATAATAATAATAATTATAATTAATTATAATAATTATAATAATAAATTCTAATAATAATTATAATTAATAATAATAATTTGTAATAATAATTATAATTATAATTAATTATAGTAATAATTATAAATTAGAATTAATTATAACTAATAATAATAATTTGTAATAATAATTATAATTATTTATAATAATTATTATAAATGACAATAATAAAATAATTATAATAATAATTATAAATTATAATAATAAAATTTATAAATTGAAATAAACATAAATTATAATTTATTTTAATAGTTATTACATATAGAAAATTTAATAATTCTATTTCTGATTCAGGGTGTTAGCAGACCTAGACAATCTAATGACAGGGACGACGACGAGGCGTCCAATGACTATTATGATGGTTCTGGCACCCGACACACTAGAAGTCGGGGTGTCAATGCGTCCGTTCATCGGGACAGACAGACGCTGATCGATTAGGCTCGGAGGGTACAGACTCTTCAGGCTAGGCAGAGTTCGAGACCCCCCGCACCAGTACGAGATGGTCCGTAGGGATATCATTTTAAGGGCCAGCCAGATAGTTCGCGACTCCATGGAGTCCTACCGTACGGTGAGCATGGATATTATTATCCTGGCCAGGCAGGCAGTTCGATGCTCCCGGCACCAGGACCATACGATCAGCGGGGATATGCTTTTCCCCGCCACGCAGGGAAGTCGGTACCCCGCGCATGCGCACCATTACCCTACGGTCAGCAGGGGTATCCTGATGAGTCGTACGGCCAGAGAGAGCTGGGTCCAGAGGAGTGTGACTCGGACGACTCCTCAGATGATCAGGACCACGCACAGCCTACGGGTCCTTGCCAGCCTGTTCGTCCTGTACAGCCTGTTCTTTAGCATGTTCGTCCGGTACAGGTTGTTCGTCCTACACAGCCTGCTCTTCAACGACAGACTGGGGGGCGTTTTGGTAGTGCTGCATCCTCATCAGGTCAATAATTTACGTATTTATTGTTGTTTAACATAAAATATTTTTACTTAATCATAACAAATTATCGGTACTGTTAGAAAAGTATTATCATCCTGCTCCTCAACTACGGTATAATTATTTTGTAATTTAGAGGAACCATACAATTAATTAGTTAGAAAATTATTATAATTATTTTTATTATTGTTATAATCAATTAGTAGTAATGTTACATAATAAATTAGTTTAAAATTGTCATTATATTTTATTAATGTAAAATGTAACGTTTCTACATTAATTGAAAAAAAAGAGCGAGCAACTTATGAAATATGTTTTATTAAATATATTTTATTTAATGCATCTGCCAGTAAGTCTATATATACAGATATGTTGTATTGTAATGCAGGTACTAGCAAACGAGCTAGGTCCGATGATGATGCACCCTGTATCGTTAAAGGCCCAGTGGCCGGTGGGCCCATTGATGGGAGTGTCATCCCTAGCTTTCTAAGGTACGTCGCCTCCCGCATGTGGAATGGAGAGTTTAGGGGGCTGCTGAAATGCCACAACAGACTGAGAGCGGTCGAGAATCTAAGGGCTTGGCGTGATGAGATGTCTTCCGATGCGAGAGATCTGATCGACAAGACCGGGCTGTCACATTTGGTCGACTCCATGCATAAACACTTGGACACTCCACTCCTTTCTGCGTTTGTGGAGCGATGGCAGCCGGATACTAACACCTGTCAGGGGCTCTGCATGTCGATACTTTCGGTCACCAAGGCTGTAATACCCCAGTTCTGTATTAATAAAAAATGGCAGTTTTTAGTTCCAAGTTGAACTATTTCTTTTTATTAATACTGCTCGTCTTGAGTTCCGAGCCCAGTTATCAGCTATTCAATCTCAGTTATTAATTCCGGTCCATTTATTTTTAGCAATGGATTTTATTCAGTCGGAATTAATTATTCAAGTTGACGAATAATCGAAACCGAGTATGTTTCGATAAATCGTCCAAGTCAAGCCGTGTCCGGAACCGAGTCGTTCGGTCACGAGTATCGCGCCTAGCTAATTCTCGAGCCCTAGTAGTCCCGAGTATTGTTCGAGCCCTATCCGTGCTCATAGCCTTACTTAGAATATTTTCCAAGTATGAGATCATTTTATCGAGAGATATCATTCCCTCGGCCTAAGAAACCCTGCACCGAGCTCGTGAACGGGTCCAAGTCCTCGCGCCCAAGTGTCGCGTGCCTCGCCGAGCCGCGAGTGCCCAAGTCATAGCCGAGTGTTGTGCATATTTTCCTAAGTATTTTGGTTCCTTAGATGAGCCATATATTCAGCCTTAGGCAAAGGGTTAACCTCGGTCCATGCATTGCCGAGCACAAGCGAGGGCCACCCAAGTGCCGCGCCCATTTCCCTTTGCCGAGTTTTGGCCCAAGTCATGACCAAAGATTTCATGAGATTTCCTAAGTGTCATGGCATATTTTTTTCAGCCTACGTGTGTAGCATTTTCGGCCCAAGAGTTGGCCTCATTGTCAGCCCGCGCGCAAATATCCCGCGCTCAGCAGGCCGCCCGCAAGGCCCTGCGCCTAGCCCACGCGAGTGGCTTTCTTGGCCCAATGCCTGATAATTCCCAAGCCCAATCCTATGGCCCAAGAGTGGCGAGTAATCAGGGGTTAATGGAGGACTAATTAAGCTCATGAAGCCCTAAGCAAGGTTTAAGGGAAGTCACATGGCCATCAGCAATATTATAAGGTGAGTGAGACATTATTTTATGCATTGAGTTTGGAATTGTCCCCCACTTACCTCAAGGCTCGACCAGAATCAGCATCCCCTCCATATTTTAGTGCCTTGATCAGAGCAAAGTCAGCTGCCATTCCCACCAGCCATGCAAGACCGCGCCCATGCACCTAGGAGTTGGCGTGAAGACCTTGTCCCCCACTCGCCCACCTTGGATGCTCTGCCCTCAAGACCTTTTAAAAGGGACGTCCTCAGCATTGTCCCAACTCTTGGACACTTCATTATCTTCAGCACTTAAGAATTTTGAGGGCTTAAACCGAGAAGCAAGGCCATATCCATTGCCGCGCGCGAGAGAGGGCGAGGAAGGGTTAGCCGCGAGTTCACCTTGCTCCAGCCGAGGTATCTTAAGTCTTATGATTATCCAAGTGTATATTGGAATTTTATAAGCCTTTTGAGCCTATCAACATCAGCAATATAGCCCCGAGTCGAGGCCAAAGTCCATAGGCCGCGAGTATAGCCCAAGCAAGTCATTTGGCACCATTTCGTATTCAAGCAAGGTAAGCTCGTGTCCTTGATTTTTCCCAGCTTATAAATGACATTTTAAGAATTATCATGTATAGAAATGATGTCATGCATGTGAGATATAAGGGATATGATTTTTCGAACTTATAAGCCCTAATTTCGGAAATTCTTATGCATGCATGAGATGGTCGATTTTCATAGCTAAAAAATCCTCAAAAATCATGAGTATGACATGGTTAAAAGATTAGCATGCTTTGAGTTCATATGTTCGGTCAAGTTGGTTAGTGGATTTGAGCTATTTTCACCTCCGAACCTAAGTCTATATGCATGCATGTTATGACCAATGTCCTAGCCTCCATAGCATTGATTTTTGATGTGGATTATTCGGCCCTAAGTCAAATTGCATGTTGAGCATGTTCATTTTGGTGACCTAGTGTGGTCTCGTGCCTAATCGGCCCCATAAGCCCACCTCCAAATCCAACCGAAGTCCCTCAGTGACTTTTGACATTTTTAAGTGTATTATGTCATATTATGTTGGGTTGGTTTAGTAGTCACCGGAATTAGTGGCCGGAAGTCCGGCAAGGACCGACTAGGGTCACCAGCCGCGCCAGTCGCGCGTGCCGTGCCCGTGCCGCGTCGCAGAGGTCAAGCAGTGCCTCTGTCCGTGCCCGCGCCTAGCGCTCGCGAGGCACCGCAGCCCCAGCGCA